GTCCTTCTTGCGCACAAGGGCACGTTGCTGCCTCATGGGCAACCTGTTGTCAGCCAGGACCCCCAAATCCCTCTCCACGGAGAAGTTGCTGCTCGAAGCACCAAGCCAATACGTGACCAAACATACTGGGTAGATATGGTACATCACTGCAGTCCACTTCACCTGCACAGCACAGGCCCAGCCCTGCTCACAACAAATTGCTTTGGCAATTCCCTCTGGGAAAAGAGAACAACCAGCGGCTTGATGCTCGTGTGACGTCAGTGGTTCCGGGCACAGAAACAAAATCACTGCCAGGAGCACAAGACTGGAGCTAGAGTGCAGCAACAGAAAAGAGCCTGCCGAAAAGCTCCTTGCTCATGTCTGTGATCTTAATAGCTGGTTGTGCTGAGCTCCCTCCAGCACAGGCTGCAGGGGACCGTCCTCCGTCACGGAGCGGGCAGCCTGGCCTCCCCACGGCACATCTGCAGCATAGATGCAAGAGGCAAAAGGTGTCAGCAGAGCTGGAGAAAAATGCCCTCTTCTCAAGCATGGGCAGCCAAGTGTTTTACTCAAGATCCTCCAAGTCATCCAAAGGCAAATCTCACTGCCTTCCATACTGGGCATTAAGGTCATGCTTCTTGGAGAAAAAAAAATGATCCTATCTGTCCACAAGATGAAAGAGGGCAAACTTTCCTACAGGCAGGCAGGATCTGATACACCTCAAATAGACTAGCGCAGACACCCACACAAGTTTCTCAACCTACTTATTTGTCACTTGCAGTAAGCTCAGCACATCCCTTAGCCCACAGGTGAACATGTTCATCAAAAGGCTCATTAGTGGTGCAGTATGGAAAGAAAGGGTGGCAGAGTATTTTCACTAATACCCCAAACCACACACTTGCCAGAGTTAAGAAGCAAAAGCACAGCAGATCCCTTGTGTCTATTTTTAGGCAGCATTGCCCAACCGAAGGAAACTCTAATGAACGCAATTCAAGTTCATTAGTTCTGCTTTCTTAGGAACAGATAAGTCAAACTCAGTTGTTTTTAAGAGGAATTGAATCATGTTAATTAGGCATCCAGAGGAAACCTTTGATCTTCAGAAAACTTGAAGAAAAGCAAGGCTTTGCAAGCACCTGCTGTACCTCCGATGGTAGAAGTGTCCTAGCTCACCTTCAGCCAGGCTTCTTCATTAAGGTGGCAACAAGCAAGTCCTCACATAATGCTACATCAATATGTTGTTTGCTGCTCATTACAGAGTCAGCACATATGAGCAAAGTTGGTAATTTTTAATCCATCCTTTCCACTGCCACTACTCTGCCATATAGGTCAAGCTGTAATTACGCTTCAAAGTCTTGCGGATGAGTATTTTGCAACTCGATTTTAAGACAGTGGGTGTGATCCTTTCATTAACCTTCTTCTACAAAGTGCAGACACCTCCCTACTGAGAGATGTGGCACCAGGCCCTGCGGCTGGCCGTGAATGCTACAATTACTGATGATTTGCCAGGGATGATGCACATTAGGCAACCTGCGAGGCTGCAGCAAGCACCGCTCAAGCCAGGGATAAGGGCGGGAGGAAGAAAATGTTGCAGAGCAAGATCTTAACGCCACTTCGATTAAAGAACCAGGCTCTGGTCCAAGTTATTGCTCATGTAGCCGCTCCCTCCGGAGTGCTGTAATTTCTTTTAGGCAAGCACCATTAACGTGATGGACACGCAGCAACTACGGAGGGATCTAATGCTACAGCTCAGCAGTTTGTTGCAGAGCTGAGGCAGAGCGAAAATAGGCAGTGCAATACTTCCTCCCCTGCCGAGAACTTGCAGTGAGCTCACAGGACGCAGGCAGCTTCGCAAGGGAGAGCGACTCAGCAGCAAGCGGGGCCAAGAGCACTGCAGGTGGGGGAAGGCAGAGCCCTGCTCCTCCGGCTTGGACAGTCAACAAGACACCGGAGTGAAGCAAGCTGTCGCTTCAGTGCTTGGCTCCAGGCTTGGTTAAGAAAACAAAAGGTCCAAACACACGTTAAACTGCCATAAAAAATGAAACCACAGCCAAAGCCAGAACTCTAGGGGCAGAGCTGCCCCGGCTGCTTGTATTTTGCTCACGCTGCCCTCACAAATACTGGCTGAACATTTAATTCAGCCTCTTCCCCTCTCTCCTGCAGTGTCACATAGGAATAGGAGAGTGGGCAGGTTGGAGACAATTCCAGGAACATGTTGTTCTCCCTACCACATCCTGCCAACAGCCGCCCTGTGCTGGAAAAGACTTATAAACACAACAGCAGAGAAGTTGGATTTGGGGCTTCCGAAACACCCCCTTAGACTTACTCAGGAGTTCCCACAGTGCTAAATCACAGATCATTTTCAGTTGTCTACTGTGGGGCTGGGCTCAGATCCCCAAATCGGTAGAGAGCCCAGCCGTGTGGGGATCCCATGCAAGGGGATTGCCCAGCAGGAGAAGAGTTGGGACAGACTGAGGACAAAGAACTAACAAATCACTCCATCCACCAGTGCTGACCCATTTCTCTTAAAAGTCAGAACAGAACACGGAAAGCTTTGAGGGGTACAGAATAAGACATGGTTTTACAGACGGTTGCGAGGCAGCCAGGGTCAAAGTGCTGATGGTGCACCCTTCAGACAGCAGATAGACCAGTGCTAAATATTAACAGGTTTAGAGGCCTTTGCGCAAGTAGTCATGGTTTTCTGAAGTCTCTTAGGGTCTTCTCAGCATGGGCCAAGAGAAACTCTGCTTCTCCAGTAGGCCCATAGAAAAAGCCTTGCTGGGAGAAGTCTATATAAATAGCTTCAGAAGAGTTTCTGTCTCACACCAGGTCAATATTTTGATAAGACCCTGTTTATTTAACCTCTAATCTCGCAGTCCATCTCTATCCCATCCTTTTTAGAGCTTCCTACACCCACACTACCTCAGTCTCCAAGTCCCTCCAGAGCAGCCTCACTGAGGAGCACAGAACTGACCCCCTGCCCGAGCTTCAGAAACAAAAATTACATAGGGAAGAAAAAAAGTCACTGAGTTGCTTTGTTTTTCCTTAAAGAAGCTGATGGCCTAAGTAAAAGTGGGGGGTGGTGGGATGTGCTGAAGAAGAAACGAGCAGAGGCTCAGAAATCCTGGTAGCACTGGAAAAGTGTAATTATAGTAATATATTGCAGTTTATAAGGAATGATGGGACGGCTCCTGTGCTCCCATGGGACACTGCCTGCGAATGGCTCCCCTCGTTTCCCACAGGCAGGGGTAGGACTGAGCCTGGCCTGTCCCAGGACCCGTGGGCAGGTAGGAGCATCTGCCTCCCACGTTGCTGCCAGCCAGCACCAATAAATGGGGTAGCCTGTTCTTTGGAGCCGTTCCCAAAATAACCCCATAGGCATCGGAGTAGAGAACACTTAGAGCCTTGCCTGGACACGTGTCTAAAAATCTCCAAAAATAGATCCTGCTTCCCCTTTGAAAAATATTGCGGTTCCCAATGCCTCACAGGAACTTAGTTCCTGCTCAGGGAAGCCACAAAATAAGTGAGCAGCCCAGAATTGATCTACGAGCACATCTGGTCTAGCAGAGACAGGCCTTACAGAGAAGGCAAAAATAAAGATTTTAAACACCACGCGTCTAATCCAGGGACTTTTATTTCTCTGGAATGGAAAGAATTTGCAGCCTGGACAAAAAAATTGCAAGCAGCAATTGTACATTCTTCCAAATAATTAAAAAAAAAAAAAAAAAAAAAAAAAGGACACACACACACACGAGTTTGGCTCCATAAATTTCTGTCATAAGAAACAACTTTGAATTGTACACCAAGCTTTTTACAAAGCATCAATGTTCAGATGGTTTACCGTGCTCTCACAATGTTGGCCATTTATACAGAATACACCATACCAAATGCTACATCAGCTTAAGACTTTTTTAAAAAAAATTAGTATTAAAAAGATATAAAGGCATGTTGGCTTGCATTTGGGTTTTCTTTTTTTTTTATTAAGACATGGAAGTTTTCTTTGTTTGTTTTCCTAAGGAAGACACTAAAAAAATATAATAACTTAATTCGTAAGGACAAGATTGGTTAAAAATCTTGCCTTTCTTGCTTGGCAGCCTTCTGAGCTCGTACCTCTGTTGCTTCCATTAGTATAAGAGCAGCGCAGGCTCCAGATGTGTCCTGCGGGCCTCGGCCCGCGCTCCTGATCTGTCCACGCTTTCAGTTACTGATTTTGTTCGGAGTATTGACCAGGTCCAGGGAAAGGAAACGCTCCCGGCCAAACGCTAAAACAGATCTTCAGTCAAACAGGGGGCTTCAATCTGGGCCAATTTCACATGGGTTTAGCCCTTTGTCTTTTGCCTCTTTGTACATCCTTTGGAAGTCTTTGAAACGAGGGGCACAGCCTAACCTGGCTTCCCCAAAGTGCATGCGTCCCGTGAAGAGGAAATCTCCATCTCCTGGTCTCACCCCGCACTCCAGCAGGGTCTTTATTTGTCCTCGCCAGTTCCCACTTTCCCCTGTGAGCTGAAAGACTTTGCTCTTCTGCCTGTAAAGTTTGTTAACGCCGACGTGTATTATGGATTCTTGCTCCTCTTCCTCGTTGGTCACGTCTTGAATAGAGCCTCTGATAACTGGAAACAGAGAAAAGGGCATCAGGAAGTGTCACCCAAAACCATGCAGGAAGGGCTGGGTTCAAACTCAGCCCCATGTAACCAGGAAGCTTGAAGGGGAAGAGATTTCCCTACAGCATCCCTGGCTTTTGTCCCTTGTAACTTCTAGACTTCTAGACTTAAGCTTCTATTTGTGACCTTCAGCATGAGCTCAGCAAAGGGCACTCGCATATTAAATTTAAATACAAAAAATAACTGCCTAAGAGAAACAGCACAATGGAGAGTTTTAGCAACAAGATACGCACTTTGAGCTCTCTGACAACGTACTTTCTGTTCTGCAGCCAGAGGACCAGCCAGTATTATTTCCCCTTCAAAAAGGGAAGCATAGAGAACTATTTGAACTTTTGATCTTTTGTCAGCAGCCCATTTTAGGGCAGCAAATAAAGGCCTCTGCTAGATGCCCCCAAGAAGTCTTTAACCCCATGCTCCCATGGTGTCATTCGTTGTCCATTCTGGGGACGTGCCACATGTTGATGTCCTTCACGCCACAATGTACAAAACCCCTCTCCTCCCCACCCCAGGCACGTGTCCTCTGTGGGCAGCATTCACTGCTGGTGGAAGTTGCCAAGCATAAGCTGGCGTCTCACACTGTGTATGCAGGTTTGGCAGCAGAAGTCACAGTCAGGAGAGGCAAGAGAGCAGGGGGAGGAAAAAAGAGAAGCAACTCACCAAAATCACTAGTGCAGACAGCCAAGAGGACTTCTGTGTCACTGCATGGTCGGCAGGGAGCTGGAGGCAAAGGGTGAGAGTTAGCAAGGGCCCAGAAGATTAACATGGTAAATAAATAGCTTATATTTAACTTAATAATAAATAAATAAATAAATAAAGTGGCTAAATGGTCCAAAGGCCTGAGAGACATCAGTAAGCCTGGGCCCTGTGAGACTGTCGTCATTAAGCAGGAATATGGTTCTCTGTAACGCTCCTGCTGGGATATATTATGCAGCAAGCACCCCCACGCTCACTGAGCGTAATGCAAAATATGTTTTGATACAGGGCGCATTGGCAGCGCGATACGCGGCGAATTCAAAGCTCTCGGAAAGGCTTTGAAGATCATTTGCCTCTTAAAGCCCTGACGGCAGAGCTTCTTTCCTTACGATTTCTATGAAGCGACGCGGGGCTATTTCGCAAGCCATCGAGGCTATCACCACATCAAAGATCCAGGAGGTTACAGAGCAAGGGGGGGGAACCCAGCGCATGTGTCTGAGGGCGTCAAGGCGAAGCGGAAACTCGAGCCTGTATCTGGTAGAGCTCAAGCAGTACAAAGACCATTTCCTGTACTGCTGGAAACATTTGGATATCTGCACTAATCTAATCAATGCAAGAATGTGGTTCGCTTTGTACTCAGCCAGCTCCTTCGGAGGAGAAGGTACTGTCGCTGCGGTACAGATGTTTCCATAATACCCTACCGAGGCGAGGAATTTGCTTACTATGAGGGTCTGCCCTGCCCAGCAATGCTAATCAAGTCCGTCCGCCAGAGGCTCAGCACCCACTTCTCTCACTGGGATCTGCGTTTGCCCATCAGTCAGGAAAGCGAAAACCCATCGAGCGCACAGCAAAAACCCATCGAGCGCACGGCAAAGACCCATCGAGCGCACGGCAAAGACCCATCGTGCGCACGGCAAAGACCCATCGAGCGCACGGCAAAGACCCATTGAGTGCACTCTTTTGCTGGGGTCAACACCAGCAACAGAGCTGAGCTCACACTGGAGACCAGGCGAAGCATTCGAGCTACGGCTTATTTAATCGGGCTGTCTGTGATAAGCTCAAAACTGAAGTTATCATCTCAGTTTTTTTTTTTAACTTTTTTTTTTTTGCATCTTAACATCTGAAAATACTTAATTACCAGATTCCCAAATAGCTACACCCTTCCTTTTCCCCCACCCGCTTCCCTGAGTAGTTTATCCATCGCACTAAGCAGCACATTTCAACTAGTCTAAACAAAAGCGTAGCTGGTTCCTGCAACAGTCGGCTATCAGCCTTCCCCTGTTAGACAGCACAAGCCATTCTTTAACATAAGACACAGCAAATCTCTTCTGTTTTCTAAGGTGCCAGAAAGGCAGTGATCCAGAAAGAAGGATTACTGAACCAAATCCACCAGATTTGCTCCAGTCAGATGATTAATACAGAGTGTAACACGCTGTTTAATAGGATTAAGACGAATGCAAAATGCACATTTCTGGGCAAAGGTATTTGGAGGAATAATTCCGAATGTTTAAAAAGCTCTAGGAGAAGAGATGAGGAATGGACCAAATAGTTTTGCTAAACCATCTGATCAGCTGGACACTTCCCTTTAGTCAAGCCTGAATGCCTCTACGGCCTTGAGAAACAAGTCAGACTTCACTACCCTTTTGCCCCCCTACACCATTTCACTTTTTTCAGGGAAAATGGGAAATTGTATAATACCATGAGAAATACAGAGCTGGGACATAACTGGAGTACTACAAAGAAGTCAGTCTAAAGATTTCAAGAAATTTTGATTAGTAACTAGAACAAATATCTAAGCGTCATTGAACAGGAAATTATATCAGCTGTGTGATATCCTATAGGGAGTCATTTCATCCAATACACTTTTCAAATTCATCCAGGGTATATTCCTCTCTTCCTCTGCCCTCCCTCTACTCAAACCAGGACCCAACTTAGAGCAACTGAACGATGAAAAGAGACGTAACCTGCAAAACTCCATGAGTTCCACTCAGTTTTCACATGGACATTCCAAAAGTTAAGCACAACCATTGGACGTCGCTGCAATCCATAATCCTAGACTCCAAATTCCACATATTTTGTTCTGCAAAGATCTAATAATAAAAAAGGCATCCCAGTCTTCTAAGGCGGGGTGAAAACAGTTTTGGTTTGGACCAGACATCTCTATAGTTCCGGTTCAACTGGAAAACCGAGGAAACAGCCTGACTAAGCCAATTCTGTTCACAGAGGGAGCACAGGACCAGCAAAATGCTTCAAGCGGTTCCTTCCATTTAAGTAGGATAACATTATAATACATCAAATGAACAAACATCTGCAGGCACATGCATCATCTCAATTGCAGACCCTACAGAAAATCCTACATCCTTCTTTAAACACAAAAGGAAATTAAAAGCACTCAGCGTTGCTCACACTAGCTCATTACTTGAAACCTCCTTTGGATCCATGCTGACTCACAGCAGCATGGTGGCATGCCAGCTTAGTTAGCAAGCCTTGACCCACACCCATCACGGCAGCACTAGATGTACAACGAGCAGAAAACCTCTTCTGTGGAACAACTACCGCCCCTGCATTCTCAGAGGATCAAATATATCAGGCAAGCAGCAAAAACGAGGTAAGCTAACCCAGATGGAGAGCAACTTGTGAAGGACTTGTACCACTGACGAAGTACATGGACCATGAAAAAGCAAATGGCATCTACTCACTGCACCTGAAGCTTCGCCCCTAGACAGTGTCATAAAAGAAATAAAATCCGAAGGAGGAGTCAGTGCCCGCACTCTGTTTTGAATTACAGCCATAACTGAATCTGGCTGTTTATGCCACATGTTAGTAATTTTAGGGGCAGTTTGGCACTAATTCACTCTGGAGATTGAAAGGCAAATATTTCCTTCGTCAGGAGGCCAAAATGACACACACTCCAGCTATGAAACAGAGCCCAGCCTTATTTATACCAAACTTGCAAGAAACCTGTTTTGCACACGCAGGGCCAGTGAGGAAGCCCGTTTTTGGCAGAAATGCACAGAGTTACTGTAGAGGCCACTGTGTCGGCAGGAGCGCATGAGGAGCCCCGCGCACTGGTAGTGTCTCCAGGGCTGCCGGGCTCTCCCAGCCAAGAGCCAGGCGCACCGCTCACACCAACAACGTCAACGTCAGCTGCTCTAATTCCCTTAAACTCGATAAGCCAAAGACCCTTAATTCCTGTGGCAGCAGGGGAGGGGAAGAAAAAAAAAAGGAAAGAAAAAAAAATAAAAGAAGAGAAAGGCAAGGTTTTATTGAAGCCCTCTAAAGCCCAGATGCCTACAACTCAACTACACGACTCATGGCATAATGTCGGCATTGTGCCCCTCGGCTGCCCGCCCTCCTGGGAATGCCTTTGATGGATTTTGACAGTATCCTGACCTGAAGTAACCTGAGGCAGCCCCCTCCCGCCACCCCCCTCCCCAGGCCGGGGCCTCCAAAGGCCTCGCTCTCCACCTCCCCGCAGAGGGAGATGTAATTACATCATTCCTCACAGGCTAGCAGTCATGTCCCAGCTGCTTTGAGCGATTTGCCCTTTGAACCTGATGTTAGTGAGGAGGACATGGCGATACTAACAATAGACTGCACTTGTTGGCCAACAGCTTCACCCACCCCATTGCTGGTCCTTTCCGCGGGGAGGCAGAAACACACAAGAGGAGAGAGGAACATGTGCTGATGAACCACCATGAGGAGATGCAAGCTGCCTTAAGCTCCAGGATCCCCGGGTTAGACACCAAGGAGGAGTGCTCCAACACTCTCCCAGTACTCCTCCAATAGTCTTCCACTATTGGAGCTGGATTAAAGCGCAACTATAATGCTGCAATGTAGCATGAGGCTCCTCACCCCTTGGGAGAGCTGTGGGGAGGTGTACACACACCTCGGGGCACCTACAGACACAGCTCCAGTGCTTTCCCCGTTGGTGTGCTACACTTTGTATGCAACTCTTCCGCCTTCTGGAAACAGGAGATGGGGGCTATTTGGAAGGCCAAAGTTATGGTCTAGGAGGACAGTATCCTGCAGGACACATTAAAACCCACTCATGCCACATCTGACTGTAAACCTCAATGAAACCAGACAACTGGCCCTGATCTTCCTCTGCCTTTCCCTGAAATATGTGTGTTTCTATGGATTTTACACAGGTGGAAAGAGCTTCACCAGGGTCCAAATTGCCTTACCCCAGAACCAGCTTTCAACACCCAAGTAAGAAAAATCCCCAGTCTTCACTGTATTTTGCTCATCTGCTTTCCCATAGCTAGGATGACAACTAGATGAGCCAGGCGGTGGGTCCTTATGCACCGCATCAAGACTCCATTTACTGAGCCAAGACAGCCTTCTCCCTCTGCTCTGCAGCTCTGCGTGGGCTGTGCTGAGGTCACAACATCACTGCTCTGAGAGCAGAGACAGGAAGAGAGGCGCCCTTGAAGCAGAAGTGAAAACGTTTAACACAAAGTAATTGCAGAAAACCACTTTACCGAGGAATACCCTTTGGTTTTATTAAGAAGCTTGCGTGCACGGGTGTGGTGTGGTGAAGGTGGGTAGGGGGGCCGTGCACCTCACGGCTGGCTTATCTGTGCTTCTGGCTTCCTGTAGCGTATGTCATCCACACATTATTATTTCTGAATACTGCTTTGCAGAGCAATCAGACATCTTAAGTACTGAAAGTTACTCGTGAGGCCCAACTAGGGTTGAAGCATTTTCATAGGTTAGTCATAGGTTTTAATCAGTTGATTAAAATGACTAGTCCCTTCTTGCCAGCAACTCAGCAGAAGACATTCAAATGGGCACTGGTCTTCTCCCAGAGCACGTTAGTTTAGCCTAAGCCAGTCTATATTGCAACACCTCGAGCTGAAGCAACATGGGGACAAAACAGACCTCCGTCTCCAGGATAAAAGCTTCTAGCCTGACGTCAGCCCTAGTTCATATGGAACAACAAAAACAACAACAACAAAAAACCTTCAAATGCTTTTTAGCAGGTCTGTAATTGCAGCTATCCTGGAAAGGGCATCACAGGA